TATTCATGTGAATATTTTGATTATTATTATATAAAATAATTAAAAGAATAAGGTAAATAGAAAAGTAAAATGCATGGTTATACCACTTTCCTTTTAATCTATAATTAGTTAGGTATGAATCAAATGTAAAGTCTAATGTTATTGATGCTAATTTTAAGAAGATCACAAAATGTAAATTAAATAACTACAATATAAATTTCTACTTTGAGAATGAACAATATAATTAAACTCAAAATTGAGAATACTCTTATACATTTTTGAACTCTTTTGGATAAATTTTGTTTTCCTAATTTTTGATAAAGTTAATTTTAATATTTAAAAGTATTTAACATTTTGAATTCTGAAAGGTTTTCTCTAATAGCAAATTTAAAAACATAATATTCAAAAAAATATTTTAAGATTCGAGTCTCGAGGTTGCATGTCGCTCGAGCGACTATATCTCGCTCGAGCGGAAAACGATACTTGATCGATCATAATTTGAAATGATCGATCATAAGCTGGAGGATATAATAGCGGTTCATCTTAGAATCGCTATCTAAAGTGTATATTAGATAGCGGTTCCAAGTGGAACCGCTATCATATACAACCAAATTTTTAATTTCTTCAGTCTCGGGTTGTGTTTCGCTTGAGCGACTATATCTCGGTCGAGCGAAATATGATTCTGATCGATTAGATTTAGGTAATGATCGATCATAATTGGAGGATATAATAGCGGTTTCTCTGTAACCGCTATCTAAAGTATATATTAGATAGCGGTTCCAGTGGAACCGCTATCATATACAACCATATTTTAATTTCTTCAGTCTCGGGTTGTGTTTCGCTTGAGCGACTATGTCTCGCTCGAGCGAAATATTGGAGGATATAATAGCGGTTCCTCTGTAAGCACTATCTTAAGTGATATATAATAGCGTTTAAGATTTAACCGCTATTAGAAGTGATATATAATAGCGGTTATGTTTTAACCGCTATTAGAAGTGATATATAATAGCGGTTAAGTTTTAACCGCTATTACAAGTGCTTGTTATAATAGCGGTTAAGATTTAACCGCTATCATATATTGCGGGGTAACGACGACTTTTCATTACTTTCATCTCTTTTCTTCGCACCTCGACGAAGAAACTCTCTCTCTCATCTCCCCTTTTCCTCCCCTGCATTTCGTCGCAAATCAGTTCAACCAAACGTGGGTGAATCTCGTGTTTCTGTCTTCGTGAACAGTATTTCGTCGCAAATCAGTTCAAACAAACAGGGGCTAAAAGTATGTTCGTATCATATTTAATACACATCAAAGTTATTAAATGATCTCTAACACAATTATTAATATATATATATAACACTTGTTTTTACTTCAATTATTTTACATGTAGGATTCAATGTGGCTTTGAGTTTGATTTTCTTATAATGCTTTTAAAAAAGTAACTTTAATATCTTAATTTGGTATCTAATATTAATTATACAATTGAAGTTTCGAATTTTCCTGTTAATTTTAATTTTGTGTTTAGCAATATTGAATTTCATGACAGTTTTATTAAGTTAAAATAATATAATTAATTTGGGTAATTTCTCAACCAACCTCTTAATTTAATTAATTTGTTACAATTAATGTTGTTAAATTATCATCTTGTCATTATCAGTGTGGAATTGTCACTAATTTAATTTATATCTTTACTATTATTACCAGATCTATTGTCATCATTATTGATCGTACTCATTTTGGTTACAACTGCTAACATTACCCATACTTTCATAATTATTTTATATTTTCATTTCATTTTTACCTAAATAATAATAATAATAATAATAATAATAATAATAATAATAATAATAATAATAATAATAATAATAGAACTAAAAGTGATTTGAAAAGTCGAATTTTTGACAAATATAAATATAAAGGATGTAATTCTAAATTAATCATATCTAAATATAAATTAAAATTAAAATTTAATATAGTTCAAATTTGTTTCATTATTTTAATCATGCATTATTATCGTACCACAAAAGTTAAATATTTAATTCCAAGACAGTTTTGAAGATGCACATGCAATGGATGATGGCAGAATAATAATGGGAAAGTTCTCCTAACAAAAATAATGTTATATATTATCCCATAATATGTCCAAACCAAAACTCTTTTACTTGAATTTGCTCTCCACATTATTAAAATTCAATTGAGTGTATATATATAAAAGAATTAATTTATATTTCAATAACAAAAAGGAATGTAAAGAATAAAAATAATGTTTAAACATATTTTATTAATTTATTGTTGTTTAATTATTAAAGAAAGAGTATACCCTTTAAACAAACAAGTTTTAAAGAAACAGAAATAAAAAGAGTGTATTTAATTTTTATTCACAAATATGAATATTTCTACAAACAACTATTTATTTGTATGATTATAAATTATTAAAATTTCGTTACGATTTTTTTTAATTCTTTAATTTTTTTAAAATAATTTTAATTATTAAACAAGTATTTTTCAATTTAGTTTTAAAATATTATTTTAAAATTAATTTGTAAAGCATATTTAAAAAACATAGGACTGAATCAAATAAACTTTAATATTCACTTGTTCTCTCTTGCATCTCATCTTTACATTGATTTTTTTTATATATAATTATATTATTTTTTATATACTATGTATAGTATCTGTCATTTTCTTTTTGTATATATCTTCTTTTTCTTCTTCTTATTTATCTTTTATATCACCTATTTAAGAAGGTCATCATCTAATGACGTCATTTGATTAATATGCATGTGGCTCATACAGATTCACGTTGTCAGTGTTTGAAAGTCAAATCTTCTACTAGGGTGCATGATAGGACAGTTAGCTCTAAATGCATGGAAATAATGAATTCAGGGAGAAAAAAAGTAAAATAATTTAATTATTATTCACAATTTTTATTTTATTTAATTATTGATTAGGATTATAATTAATATATATATTAATTAATTATATCCAAAGATATAACTAATTATATTACTTTTCGTCGCATCCTCTCGCGGTCATGGAGTAAAGAATATACGCGTACATATTTCTTCATTTTTGTAAGTTTTGTCTCTCAATCCTGGTAATTTTCCACCCGAAGAAGAATTTGCCCAAATGAACTGGTTCAAAAGTTATTTTACATCGTTCATTCAATTTATAAGATGTGTATAGAGAAACAAAAAATTGGTAAATTAACTGGATTTTTGAATTATTACTTCATGTATTATAAATGAATGAACAACTAATGAAATAGTACATTAAAAAACTATATAATAATATTTGTGAAATTAAAAATATTATTTGTTACAGCTTAATGAGGTTTTTGAAATAAGATAACTTTTTTATCACGAAATCATGAAATTTCGATTATCATAACTTTTAGAAATTACTAACATTTGTTCAGAAATATTTATATAAAACGTCTCAAAAAAACATTATATTTTCATAAAAAAAAAGTATCACATTAAATTATCTAAGGAGAATGTCATGATATTTTATTATAGTAATGCTTTTTTAATTTACAAAAGTTAAATTCTCATCCCTCTACTGTAATTTCTTGAAATAAATAGTTAAAGATTATCACAAAACATAGTTTCTTATAAAGGTTATTTTTTATTAAAAATTATAACGAGGTTTTATTGAAGTGTAAAAAAAAAGAGATTTTTTTATTTAATGTTATGAATTAGTATGAGAGAATAAATATTAAAAAAATTAAATTAAACAATATAAAAGTATTATTAGAACATAATTTAGTTTTTAAGTTTATTATTTGGGTTTTAGGTATTAATGTTAGAGATATAAATTTAGGTCAAAATAACCTTTTAATGAATTTTATGTTTAATGCTATAGACCTAACGTAAATTATATTGGTTATTGTATCGTTTGACGTAAATTTATGTTTTAAAGAAATTTAACATTTTCTCGAAGATTAACAATAAGGCGTTTTTGCACTATTTTCTCCTTGACATGTTCGAAATCTTTTTTAACCAAGTTTAAATTTCTTTATTTACTGTCTCATTTTTCTTCTCAACTTCTCTCTAATGACTCTCTCTTCAAGAACGAGGTTTATCCTTTTATTTTGTTCGATAGAACTGTAAAATTTCATATTCCGCTAAAAAAAACTTAATAAAAATATTCATACAATAGATGAGTAAGATCTAGAAAATAACCACAATTCTAATTTTAAAGTTACACAATAAATGCTTAGATACTCCTTGAAGAACAGTATATAAAATTATAAATAGGTCACAATAAGTGATGTAGTAGTTAGAAAACACTTGAAAAGTTCACCTTGTTATTACTATCGCGTTGCTAAAAAACATAAATAATGAAATCCTAATAAAAATATAAACAAACTTTACATCCCCCATATAAAAAAAAGTTGATTTTAATTAAAAAATGTCACCAATTTTTTTTATGTAGAATAATTACAAATAAATAATTAACATAAAAATATATTTTATTTTTATTTTTTATTATTAGAAGAAAAATTGATGATTAAAGGTGATTTACTAATATATATATATATATATATATATATTTATTATTATTATTATTATTCAGAAAAGACATACTACGACTTTTTTATTGCATGAAGGGTTATTGGCTTACTTCTTTTATAAATAGAAAACGATAAATACATGTTGTGTACGCAACCTTAACCTAGGCTATTTTTGTGCATTTTGTTGAATTCCATTTATATTTAACGTTTTCTAAGAAGAGAAGTATGGTGAGAGTGACCTTTGAACTTGTGAGTAAGGTTGAAAAAACAAGAAGAAGATGAACTTAGTTTCTTCTGGTTCCTTCTTTTTCTTCTTCTTGGTGATTCATTAGTTGCCTCTCATATCATTACTTTAACTCCATCTATATCAACTAATAACTAATTCAATTTCAACACCATTATTACAATACCTTTCCCACCCACAATATATACACACACTGCCAAACACATCATGCACACATTCTCCTTCTTTTTCTTCCTTTTTCTCTCTGGTTCTTTATAACTACCCTAATGGAAGAAACCCAACCTCTGAGCTCAAAGATCTCAACGGTGGTGCCAGCAACCCCGCGAGGGGACGAGCACAGTGTGTGGCACCTCAGCTCCATGGACCTGCTCCTTAAGCTCTACTACATCAGAGCCCTCTATTTTTTCATCAACGACGCTGCTCAAGGACTCTCCATCTACGACCTCAAGAAACCCATGTTCCCTCTCCTCGATCATGTCATCCACCTCTCGGGTCGGATCCGATTCTCCGAATCCGGTCGACCCTTCATAAAGTGTAACGACGCTGGTGTCCGCATCGCCGAGTCTCACTGTGACCTAACCCTTCTGGAATGGTTCCATGAAAACGGGTGCTCCATTCATCATGGTCTCCTCCACGATCATGTACTTGGTCCCGACCTTGGTTTCTCTCCTTTGGTCTTTGTTAAGGTATGTAAGTTTTTTCACTTTCTTAAATGTATTTTTTTTTTGTTAACATTAACGTATTTCAACTTCTTTATAAAATACAAATTAAATTAAATTAATTCTCTACAAAATAATTCATTTATAATTTTGTTAACTTATATATAAGATTAATTTTTATTCTAATCTATTTCCTAAAAATGTTTTAAGGCAAAAACTCATTCAAATATATTTTATTACAGGTTGAACTTCGCACATTAAAACAAATATAAAAAGTATTTTGAAAATTCTTTTAATGATTTGTGACACTTCCATTTCATGGATTATTTGCTTTCTTGTGCTTTTTTTGTGTGAATTGTTGCCTAATTAACTTGCCCTGCAAAGATGACTAAAGACTAATTAAAGCCACGATGGTTGGGTGTGTGGTACAACTTGTCCTTACTTTAAAGACTACTTTCATTGATATATAACTTCAAGGAAATTGCACTATTTAATTAGTGACTCCATGAATTTCATCAAAGATATGAAATTCTTTTAAGATATTTGTAATTATTTTTCTTATTATTTTATAAGATTGTGATTTGAAATAATACATAATTTAAATTGGAGTGGGGTTGGGGAACAGATAGGTAGTTATTATTTATATATCTATTTATAATAAAATGCGGCTAATTATTAAATGAAATGAAGTGATGGTTTGTGGCTTATCCGAAAGGTGTCATCTGTCCAAATCTCGTGCATGAATGACAGTGGTTAGGTACATTCATTAATCTCTCAGACAAAGTTATTGGTGCATACCATTGACAAGTTACTTCAGGAAAAGATAGTAGACAATCCATGAAATTATTTTCCACCAAAAAGGAAGATTGTGTTGCCAAGAAAATGGTTTATTGCTCATTATTTCATGGTCATTGTGTGATATAAGGAACCAATACTAATGTGTTATCATGTTTTTGGTTTTGCATGAAGTTCACTTGGTTCAAATGTGGAGGCCTTTCTGTGGGGCTTAGTTGGTCCCATGTCCTTGGCGATGCCTTTTCAGCTTTCAATTTCATCACCAAGTGGAGTCAAACGCTCGCGGGTCACGCGCCACCCAAAACCCTAATTCACACGCCAAATCACAAACAAATTCAATCCCCACCACACAACAATTTGGTTGATGGAAACCATGGGAATAATGAGAATCCCGTTTCTGTTAAAATGGCCACAACCGTAGAGGAACTCTGGCTGGCCACAAACGACACCCAGATGGTTACTCACACTTTCCATGTTACTCCCAACCAACTTAACCACTTGGTAACATCCATCTTCATATGCGACCAAAACCAAGCCACCCAAACCTCGTATTTCGAGATTCTTTCGGCTTTGGTGTGGAAACAGGTGGCGCGCATCAGAGACACGGAGCCAAAGATCGTGACGGTTTTGACACGTGGCAGTGTCTCTAATGAATTCCCGACCAATGACGTGGTGATAAGTGTGGTTGAAGCAGACGTGGCGATTGGAAAATCCGACGTGGGGGATTTGGCGAAGCTGATTGGTGAGGAGAAAAGGGTGGAGAATAACATTGTGGAGAAGTTGGTGGAAGAAAACGAAGGGAAAGATAATTTTGCGGTTTATGGAGCAAGATTGACGTTTGTGGATTTGGAAGAAGGTGATATTTATGGGGTTGTGTTGAATGGACAGAAACCGATGGTGGCAAATTGTAGCATTGATGGGGTGGGTGATGACGGTGTCGTTTTGGTGCTTCCGGGATTGGAAGATGAAGAAGATGGGAGGAGTGGAAGAATGGTGACTGTTACTTTGCCTGAAAAAGAAGTTTTGCAGCTGAAGGATAAGCTAAGAGAAGAATGGGGTTTTGAGTCACTTGCATTTTGATGGTCCAAAAATGTTAGTTAATTACTTTTAGATTAATAGGTTTCATGAGTGAAATTATTACTATACTATTAATGAATATGCTAATGATTAAGCTTGTGAGGTATGTAAAACAATAAGAGTTAATAGAAATGTCTATTTGTTTGATTTGTAAAAAGGTTAAATATTCCTTCTTTTTTTATGTATTTAACTTTTGGATAAATTTGATTTTAGTCTTCATGATTGATTGATCTTCAAACTTTGTATCATTTTTATAACAACATGCTAATCTCTTATATTATGTATCTTAATGAAGACAGTTATTGCAAATGTTAAAAAACTGAGAGGTGGGTAGTTACGAAAATTTAAAATAATTGATGTCATTAACAACTTCATAATTTTCGAGTGTTCTCTTTTTGGCAGATGATGATGCCATTTATGTGTACATCTTAGATTTTTTTATTTTAAATTCGCTTCGCCTTTGGCCCTTCCCTTACCAAAATGAAATAATAAATTTTACTTTTGTAAAAAAAATGTGTTTGATCTATAGGAAAAATAAGTCGATAAAGAAAAAATGGATGAAAAGTAAAATTAAAATTATAAATGTATTATTTACGAGAAATATATAAAAGAGATAGGAATATGAATATAAATAGATGAAAACTAACAGAATGTGTATTACCAATTTGAACATTATTTCTCCTACTTTCCGTGGTTAAACTACTTAATACTTACTAATATCATATTTACCTATGCTTTCAAGTTATCATTACCAAACAAAAGTGTAAATGATAAAAGAAAATTACAAAAAATCAATAACTTGTATGTTATAAAATAAATTTAATACTAAATGTTTGTTTTTCAATCAATAAATATAATTTAGTTAACTAAACATTGCAAGGTAGTGTTAGTAGGAAATCGATAAAGGGATCGAAAAATGAAGGAAAGAAAAAATCGGGGATCATATGATTGGTTAAAAAACTGATAAAGTGAAAAGATGGTTAGAAAACATTCGATGACCATGTAACAGTATGGACACATAAATCGAGAATTAGAATCGAAAATCGAAGGAGGAATATTTAATGTCTATTGTTGAAGAAAATCGAGGAATTAGAATCATGTAATGTTAAGGTTAAGGGGAATCAAAAAAGCAATGCAAAGTTCTCGAGATTTTGAAATCGAAATCGAGGGAAAAGTTAACATGCACGACCATCAAAATTCTGGCTAAGTTAGAAAGAGAGGAACAGTTAACGCGCACATAGAACATGGGAAGCGATTTCTAAACCGTGTCAGAGATCGAAGGTCAAGGGAGCAGTTATCTCACGCATGGGAACGTGAAATACAGTTTTTTAAACCGTGGAACTGAGGGACGTGCATGATGGATCATGGTGGCAGTTTTGTTAACTACTCTTAGGAGGTTACTTGAAAGACGCTCTATAAATAGAGCAAAGAATGAAGGAAAGGGGGAAATTGGCAGAGAGAACTGAAACACTAGTGAAAAAGTCTCCCGGAGAACGACGAAATCATGAAGTTTCTGGCGATCTGGATTTCCATTTTCATTGATTGTCTTTACCGCTTTTTGTACTTTCCTTGGTAATTTATGTTCATGCAATTTATTTTGACGCAGTTTACGTTTAGCAACTTTAAGTTTCTGCACTTTCAATTCCTTGTCACTTACTTCTATGCAAGTTAAGGTTATACGTTTAAGATCATTGCCATTTACATTCCTACAATTTCGATTTCCCGTTCTTTACTTTCCTGCAATTTCGATTCTTTGCCCTTTTACACTTAATACGATTTTGAGGTTTCCGCACTTTACATTTTTTCTGCAATTTAATATTCTGCACTATCGTTCGATTCGATATTTTTTACTGTTTTCTTTACTTCGCGTCTCTTAATAAAAAATACCAAAAAATAGTACTTTCGATTTGCATACTAATTTGCATTGTTTACATTTTCATGCATTTTTCGATTGAAAACCGTTTGCTAGCCTAAATAAAAAGAATCAACGTGGTTAAAATTTGGTTAGAACCTAAGTCTCGATTTAATCAAAATCGATCAAATTTTCACCAGAAACAAATTGGCGTGCCAGGTAGGGGAATATTGTGTATTATACACAAAGTCTGACTAGTTCGATGAGTGTATGAAACTAAGGAGTGGACGAGTAGTAAGAATGAGTCAAAATCCACCAAATAGTCAGGGTAATAATGAGATTCCTAATAGTCCGAATCCACCAAACACTGGGGGGCAAATTCACAATGGGAATATGCTTGTAATATCGACAACTGCGAGTATGTCGATACCTGTGAGTAATGAACAAAACTCAGGCCCATTAGCAAATACTCAGTTAGGGTCTAGTACTGTAATGTCAAACAATATGCAAACTAGGGGAAACCCCGTAACAACATATGCAGGGCCATATGTGAGTGTAAGGCCGCCTGGGTTTTCGTTTAATAATATGAATGGAGCCGGTACTTCTCCGATACAATGGAGTACGAGAGTTAACCTAGGAATGCCCCAAAACTCGGGAATGTTTCAAACCTTAGGTATGCCTCAAAATTTTGGAGTATCCCCAAACTTAGGGATGTCTCAAAATTTAGTAACACCCCAGAATTTAGGGAACGCTCAGAATCTAGCACATCAGACACCTCCAAACCTAGATCATAGAGCAAACATGGATCACGGAAGGTATAAATTCGATAGAGATTACCATCAATCCAATTTTGAGACTATCGAAAACGCTAGTACTGGAATCTCCAGTAATTCATTAGGAGTACTTCGACAGCAAATGGATGAGAGTAACTTTGAGATGGTTAACATGTTATCACAACAGTTGACTACGGTATTAAACCCATTAGTGCAAAACACTACTACTAGTTTTGAGATATTAGCAGACCAAATGGCACGTATCGGGGATGCATTGGCTATACCTCGACAAACAAGAGTGGAAAATCATGCCAATCAGAACCTTAACCAGAATGTTAATATCAATCCCTCTTATTTATTAAGGAGAAATCGAAACAATGATCAACATCAGCACATGGGGAATGAATATCAACAGGTGAGGAATGATATTTACGGAAATGTGAATGAAGGATTTCAAAATGTGTATAATAACATGCAGTATAATCACATGCTAGGACAAAGGATGAATCCCCAAGGAGTGGAATTAAGACCACCCAATCAACCATATTTTGTTTCTCCTTTTCCAAATACGATTCTCGAGACAGAGTTACCTCGAGGATACAAAATACCTAAATTCACCAAATTTGCTGGAGAAATTGGTGAGTCCACTATCGAACATGTGGCGCGATATCAGATCGAATGTGGGGACCTAGCGATGAGTGAATAATTAAAAATGAAATATTTCCCTAGTTCATTAACTAAGAATGCTTTCACTTGGTTTACTTCATTGCCACCCAATTCGATATATAATTGGTTGCAATTAGAAAGAAATTTTCATGAGCAATTCTTTAGGGAGGAGACTCAAGTAAGTCTCATCGACTTAATGAACATAAAGAGATACAATCATGAAAGCATAGATGATTATTTGAATAGATTTAGACAAATGAAGTCAAGATGCTTTACTCAAATTCCTGAATATGAATTAGTCAGAATGGCCTCTGCAGGCTTAGAATTATCGATTAGGAAAAAGTTAGTTAATTTATCGTTGAATGACATGACTCAGTTAACCGATAAAGTGAGAAGAGTGGAACAAATTGAATATGAAAAACAAAGGTATAAGAAATTCGAGAAACCTATGAAGAAAGAAAAAGTAGCATATATAAATGATGTATATGAGGAAGATCCCAAGGCAGAAACATATATTAAAGAAACTGTCGATAAGAAAGTAAATATAACAGAGCTTAAAGTAGGAGCTCCATACATTTGTAAATTGCTACAGAAAAATGAAGTAAACGACAAAATGGAAAATCGAACATATACTTTTGATGTAACAAAGGCGGATAAAATCTTCGATATTTTATTGAAAGATAAACAGATTAAGTTGAGTGATGATCATAAACTGCCTACGGCAGAACAAAGAAATGGTCGAAAATATTGCAAATTTCATAATATTTATGGACATTGGACTAATAATTGTATACATTTCAGGAACACAATCCAAGATGCGATTGACCAAGGGAGATTGAAGTTTGAGGAGATGTCAATGAAAGTGGATACGAGTCAATTTGAGGTTCAAGTAGGGTATATCGAATCCCAAACGGGCATGGCTGAAGATGTCCGATTGACAAATCTGACCTTTGTAGGCATGGTTGATGTTACTGAAGACATTGATCCTAGACATGTCAGAATGGACATGTCAGAAGAAGACATAGAATTTGATTTAAGTGAGTTCGAGAAAGAATTCGAGAGAGAGATCTATCCTGGATCAGAAGATTCTCTCGTCGAGTTTTTAAACAGAAAAAAAGAAAAGGATGAAGATGTGATGTTATGTCCACGATGCAGTGCGGTGTTCGACAAGTCAGCCGCTAAAGCTTTCAGAGCAGGACAAATAAAGAAAATCGAGAATCAAAACAAAAGGGACAATGATAAAGTAGATCAAACAGTCCAATCAATGATAGGAGAAAGTCAACAGAAATCTGTTGGTTCTGGTGCTAGTAGAAATCAGAAACAATGGGTTAGGAAAGAAATGTATCCTTCTCGAGAAGGAAGGGGCAGACTTCAAAATAATGATGTCTTCGAGAGACTTTCATATGATGAAGGATCGAATATTGGATTTCCAACATTCCAAAGGAGATTTCGAGGAAGGCCCTGGAGAAGAGGAGGGAGGATCCTTTACTGGGGAAGGTTCAATAATTACAGGAACTTTGAAGAGAGTAATGTACCAATGGGGAGCCAATATGCAAGAGACTTTGGCGATGACAAAAATGAGGGTAGTTGGGATGAACATCAAATCGGAGTAATATCGATACTACCCGCAGAATATGTTAGTGAGTATAAAGAGTACCAAGAACAAAGTAATGTCGATCGAGAGGATGATTTCTATTCCGAAGACATGAGAC